TTGGTGGATATTGTAATAAAATATTTATTGGACATATTAGTATTTTTGACATTTTATTCTTTCATTCTATTTAATTTTTAGGTTTAATAATTGGTGGCTTTTGTAATAAATATTTATTTTACAACTTGTTTGGATTTTTCACATTTTATTAATATTTTGCAGACATAATATTATGTATAAAACATTTTTTTTGGACATCCTAGTAATATTTTAGACACATTATTAGTATTTTTGACATTTTATTCTTTCATTCTATTTAATTTTAGGTTTAATAATTGGTGGCTTTTGTAATAAATATTTCTTTTACAACTTGCTAGGATTTTTTGCATTTTATTAATATTTTTCAGACATAATGTTATATATATATAAAAAATTTGGACTTCCTAATAATATTTTAGACACATTATTAGTATTTTTTGACATTTTATTAATATTTTCAGACATCAATATAGTAATATTTTTAGGACATGTTATATTTTTTATTTTTGGGACATTTTAATACACTTTTTGGACGTCCTATTAATACTTTGGACATATTAATATATTTCCAACATTGTTTTATTTTTAAAATTGAACGCTAAACATTTGTAAAGCTTCATATTTTACGAGAACATTCATGTTTTGGACTTTCTGCCGCTCAGTTCAGTCTCGCTGGTTGAGAATCTCGCCCACATGAACTCATAGAAATACAAATAAAACGCGCCTTAAATCGTACTAAAGAGCATTTATAGAGTGTTTAAGATGCAGAATTCAGTGAAAGCAGCACAACACTGATGACATGACACACGTGGTCTCTTTACGATAAAAAACAAAAAAGTATTAAAAGAATAAATTTAAACGTCATAAATCTTCATGTTTGTAGGCAGGGACGTTCTCTCCTACAACAAATCCTTCTCTTTACATGTTCCATATTTATATATGATTGATTTTCTTCAGGTATTTTGCTTTAAATACATAAATGAAAGTTCTGCATTTTTCTGATTTTCACAACAATCCGTTCCAGAACCAGCCCGTGATCTGCACTCAGAGCAAACCGACGCCGTGAAGCCGCGAGACTAGAAACCGCTGAAAACCCAGAGATGAGCGACATCAGCTCGGTGTACAACGAGCTCCGAGCGCGGCGGCAGCTCTGCGACGCCGTGATCCGAGTGAACCGGGCCGAGTTTCACCTGCACAAGGTGGTCCTGTGCTGCTGCAGCTCGTACTTCAGGTGAGCCGAGCACGACGGTGCTGAAGGACCGTTACAGAGCGTTAGCTTCAACAGCAAAACCGCTTCAGTTCTGTTTGTGGAGCTTCTGAAACTCAACATTCTCCGAAATTTCAAATGTTTGTCCACGAAAGTTTCACTGAAGGTGTCGAGTTTGTTCCTCCAAGACCAGAAGTTGTTTTTATTTGAATATGTCCTCGAGCCACCAAACCACATGGAGGAGAAGAAGCTGCTGGACTCCAGCAACTCGATCATTTATATCCGTGTGCATGTTCATATATGATTTAATTAAATCAGGGTGTAATTAAACAATGTTTTAAATGATATTTAGATAAATTTACTGTTTGAAATGACATCTTAAGTGAAGTTTTTAGCCTGTAAATTCTGACTTTGTGTGTTACTGAAGAAGAAACTAATTTTAATAGACTTACAAGACTCAACATGACAGAAAATCACATTCTGGTGACTGTTTTTGTGAATTACTTTATTTTCTTGGTGGTTTCAAAGACGGAACACGAACTTAAATGTAAAAAAGAAGTCGTAGTTTACGATCGTAGCTTTATTTTAATGTCACGGTTCAAACATGGAGTTTGTTTAGATGTTCTGAACATATTCCAGCAGGTGTTTCATTTAAGACTAAAGAACGCTGCAGTGATGATGGAAGTGGTCAGACTTCAGCTTTAGTCTCACAGCTCAAGATTAAGAAATAAAAACAGACCAGAGAGGGTAAAAAGATGCTGAATTTCAACATAAATAAATCCACACAAATCGATCACTTTCATGCGACAAGCTGAAAGCATTTGTTCTGCAGCGGCTCTGAGCTCTCGTGTGAATTCAGAGTCTGCAGAGCTTTTATTGTGAAAGTCTCGTCTGCTCGTGGCCCCTCAGGTCTCTGTTCACCCACTGGTCGCCTCCACACGACCGCCTGTACGACATCGACCTCGTGTCCCCCGACATCATGCAGCTCATCGTCGACTTCGCCTACACCGGTTCCGTCTCCGTGGCCGAGGACAGAATCCGCGAGCTGTTCGTGGTCGCCAGCTACTTCGGCATCCTGGACCTGATTCAGGTCTGCCAACACCGGCTGGAGGAGCAGCTGACCCCGCGGAGCTGCCTCAGCACCTGGAGGCTCTCCGACCTGCACTACAACCCGGAGCTGAGGGGCAAGGCCTTGGCGTTCACGCTGAGGCACTTCGAGGAGGTCGTGGCCTCCTCGGAGGAGTTCCCGCTGCTGTCCGTGGAGGAGCTGGTCCGGATCCTGGAGGACGACCGGCTGAACGTGAAGCAGGAGGAGACGACGTTCGAGGCCGTCATGAGCTGGATCAACTCAGAACCCGAGAGGCGACGAGGATTCACGCCTCTGCTGGTGTCCAAAGTCAGTTCAGCTTCACAGCAGGGTTCATGTGTGGCGACACCAGAACCAAAGGTTTAGCTTTTAAAACGAGTTTGAAAATTCTGATGGTAAAATGTTGATATTTTTTTACAAGTGTATTAAACAAAAGAATCATTATTTTACATAAAAAGAAAAAAATAATTAAACACATGCGAAGAATTTCCATTATTTTTAAAATTAATCTTCTTTTTTTTTTAGCTGCATTTAATCAGCTAAAAAATATTATTTTACAAATATTTGTCATTATTTAAAAGAAAAATTATAAATAATCAGAACTGACGAATATTTTTATTATTTATACATCTGGCTAAGAGTTGATGCTACGATTAATCTACCAGAACATAATCAGGATTAAAGAATATTAAATATATATTGACATTTTAAAATATTATTATTATTATTATTATTANAACAAGCACAAGAGGCCAAAGTTCAAGCGCTTCCTTATTCGCTCTCCATCATCTGGAAACGTTCGCTTTTATTCTGCTTCTCTTTTTAAAATGTCCGCCGTCGGGGCAACACGGATGCTTCTGGGTCTTTCTGCTTCGTTTCACCTCCTTTGTTAGCGGCCGGACGTCTTTTCTGACTCATTCAGCCGGACGGCGTCGTCTCTAAACGTCGTCTCTAAACGTCGTCTCTAAACGTCGTCTCTAAACGTCGTCTCTCCGCCTCGTTGTGTTTTATTGTGACGTTTCTGCTTTAACTCGCTCAACGCGCTTCGTTTTCCAAATATAATCAACTAAAATACACACATTCACCTGATTAATTAATCTAATGTGGATTTGAGATGATTTGACAACCAGCTGTTCACGTCTTTTACTCCCATTTCCAGCTTTAATGTGCATTTTTATGAGGGTGTTGCTGTTTTATTCTTCATCTGTTTAACATTATTTTAATATTGCTGATTGATTAGGATGCAGGCATGTTTTAGTGAAAACATTTGATCTTTAACAGTGTTTATCACATGAAAACTCACTCTCAGCACTTTGTTAGGAGCATCTGTGCAATATTGGTTTTTTTTAAAAATATATTTAACAATTTTTAAAAACATTTAATTAATGCTTTATAGACGTAACAGTATTTTCTTTCATTTTTTGACTTTTCTGTTTGAATATTTTCAGATATTTTCCTAATTTTTCTTATTATTATTTTAAATAATTTTATCAAACATGGTTTTACATTAGTAATAATTGAGACATTTCATATGTTTTTAAATGAAATTTTATTTAATCCTAATATAGAAAATCTAATATATATTTTTTGTATTTTTTTCACAATTAAGTAATTCTTTTTTTACATATGATTTTTTTTGTTTGTTTTATTAATATTTTTTTTAGTAATATGTATTTATTGGACTTTTAATTTTTTACTCTTTTGGACATTTTAATAAATGTTTTTAACATTTTATGTTTTTATTTTAGATTTAATATTGGTGGATATTGTAATAAAATATTTATTGGACATATTAGTATTTTTGACATTTTATTCTTTCATTCTATTTAATTTTTAGGTTTAATAATTGGT